AAAAAAAAAAAAAAAAAAAAAAAAAAAAAAAAAAAAAAAAAAAAAAACACATGCAAAATTGGCAAACAAATTAAGGAGTTTCCTAAATTCCCAAAATCTAGCCATGAACCACAGAATTCCTGTCCTAATAAATTAGTCATCATTACCACCATCATAAAATTATGTCTTTTAACCCTTTTCCCATTTGCCTTGAGAATCCTCACCAGCCAGGCTTGTTGCTATAGTGTTTACCCAGAGATAACTTTGCCATGAAATATCTCATTTTTATTATTATTTTTGCATTGCTCTAGTATATCGACTTTGGAAACAAAAGACATCTTTGTATTTATAGCATTCTATTTTTAGTAGTGGCACTTCCATTACAAAATATAGTAATTCTCAATCCCTGAAAATGTCACATCTTAGAAAACAAAGCATTGCTACTCATAATGTTAACATCATTCTCAAACAGTTGTTGGCTGAAGATACAACTGATGAATCTGATTTTTCTGAAATAGAAAATTCTGATGATTCAGACAATTCTGATATTAGTTCTATTCAGAAATAACTCCAAGCACAGTTTTTATATTTTATTTTCACATCGAAAATCAGTCAGATTTGCTTCAGCCTCAAAGAGTGTGTTTATGTAAAATTAAATGAATGCTGAACTTTTTTCTAAAGGGGAAAAGGGTTCAAATAAAGTTTATATTTAAATGAAAGTGTCATATCTTCTCAAAACATCCAAAACTAGCAATAAAGTACATTTGGAATTGAACAATGTATTTTGTGTACTCTCCCTATATAAAGTAATTTAAAGAAAATCCTTTAAAATGCATAGATTCCCCAGGTGTGTACTAACAGTTTTGTATTTGTTATTCTTATAAATGAAAAAATGCCGTAATTATCTTATGAGATTTCTAGTTTACTAGATTTCCACTATAGTATAGGGTATTTGTATTTCTAAGATATGATTATTTGGGGCAGTATTTCTTTGTTCACATTAAACTGCTAACACATGAGCTATCTTTTCTTCAACCAAATCTAAAAGATGAAGAAGAAAAGAAAGAAATGAAAGCAGATGAAGAAGGCTGACATTTCAGAAGAGAGAAGGGCATGAAGGAAAACAGTATCAGACAGGAAACAGAGGATATTAAAAAATTATTTTTTCTTTACTTTTTTTTCTTACCACAGTACTAATGGGAAAAAACTTTTTTAGAATTAAGTTTAATATATACAAACACCACATTTTTGGCAGGGGTACCTTAGAATCAGTAAGCCAATATTAGATGAGCAATTACCAAATGCTGGGAATGACTACTCTAAATCAAAACCTTATTTTTTCTGTTTTGAATACGACATCAAATTCATTTATAAATATCCTTATTTTTTTAACTTTGTCTCTGAAAAATTTTGTACTATATTTTTTTAAATTCTCATTTTTAATTGACAACTATTAGGTTCAGCCTTTGGAAACAGCAAAATAGTAATATTACCTAGTGATATTCAACTTGCTGATTTTTCTAATATAGTTGAAATATAACGCTATATTTTAATGACTCTACTGACAAATGCCAAATGAAAATGAAAATGATTTAGTTCCAAAAATTAAAAACACAAGGATGTCATATTTAAAGAAGGAAAGAAAATTGGTTATCCTCATAAATAAAATGTCCTGGGCATAAATAAACCAATAGTTTCTAATATAGTGTTAAAGATCAGAATCTGCTGCTGTTTAATTTTATCTTCTAATTACAAAGTATTATTTTTTAAATCTTACATTTTGCTTCCTAATATTTCCTATAAACTAACATAAAAAATATTTTTTAGCTTATAATTGCCCCAGGAGTAGAAGCAACTGCCTTGATAATTCGACAGATTGCTGACCACAATTTAATGACCTCAAAGAGAGATCCTCATGAATGGTTGGATAAATCCTGGCTTGAAGTTTCACCGTCTGAGGTATATTTTCTAAATGTATAAATTAGATATTAGCAAATCAAGTATAAAACCCTGTATTTGAATTTACTTTCTGGTAACATTTTTTCCCCCAAATGTCTCAAATTGAGTGGTAGGTGCAATGACAACATTTTTAATCTGCTGCAATGAGTAGAATAAAATGGATCACTTTCAAAAGACTACTGACTGATTACTTCTTAAATTCTTTACTAGGAAGAAATGCACTTACTTGATTTTCCATGTATTAACCCATTGGTGGCTCAGCTCATGCTAAATAAAGGACCTTCACTGCATTGGATATTATTAGCAACTCTGTGTCAACTTCAGGAACTCCTACCTGAAGTTCCAGAAAAAGTGTTAAAGGTTAGTTATTTGAGATCTGTATTCTGATATGAATACATATTATTATTTCCTTTTAATTTGAGTTTCTATTTTTACAATAGGATTTTTAAAATGAAGCTATCCAAGTTTAATTGTTTTGGACTCCAAATAGCAAAGAAATAATTTACTTGAACGAAATTTCATATAGACTTTTCATTAGCTATCAATTATATTATACATTTTATTTTATTTTATTTATTTTTATTATGATGATTTGTTTTTTGAGACAGAGTTTCACTCTTGTTGCTCAGGCTATGGTGCAATGGTACAATCCCAGCCAACTGCAACCTCCACCTCCCAGGTTCAAGCAATTTTCCTGCCTCAGCCTTCCAAGTAGCTGGGATTACAAGCATGCACCACCACACCTGGCTAATTTTGTATTTTTTTTTTTAAGTAGAGACAAGGTTTTACCACGTTGGTTAGTTTGGTCTCAAACTCCTGATCTCAGGTGATTCACCCACCTTGGCCTTCCAAAGTGCTGGGCTTACAATATTTTTTTCTTTTCTTGAGATGGAGTCTCTCTCTGCCACCCAGGCTTGAGTGTAGTGGTGTGATCTCAGCCCACTGCAATCTCCAGCTCCTGGGTTCAAGATATTCTCGTGCCTCAGCCTTGTGAGCAGCTGGGACTACAGGTGTGCACTACCATACCTGGCTAAATTGTGTATTTTTAGTAGAGCTGGTCTCAAACTCCTGACCTCAAGTGATCTAACCGCCTCAGCTTCCCAAAGTGCTGGAATTACAGGCATGAGCCATAAACCCCCGCCTATGTTATACATTCTAAAGCTATTTTATACAGATAAATTCAATATAGTCAGCTTTATCACACTTCAAATCATTTTGGAATATTATTATCCTCACAGAAAATTCAATTATGCACCCTGTTCACATGTATTTACATTACCTCTTCCAAACAGTCCTAACACACCCTTCGTTTTAGCTGTAAAGAGAACTTTAACCTTATTGGCAATATTTTAAAATTCTTATCGAGGAAATAGTATTCATGTATGAATTGTATAACTAAAAATTCTATTATATTTGCTGTGAGCCTAAAATTGTTCTGAAAAAAATAGACTATTAAAAATTCCAGGCGGGGCGCGGTGGCTCAAGCCTGTAATCCCAGCACTTTGGGAGGCCGAGGCGGGTGGATCACAAGGTCAAGAGATCGAGACCATCCTGGTCAACACGGCGAAACCCCGTCTCTACTAAAACTACAAAAAATTAGCTGGGCATGGTGGCGCATGCCTGTAATCCCAGCTACTCAGGAGGCTGAGGCAGGAGAATTGCCTGAACCCAGGAGGCGGAGGTTGCGGTGAGCCGAGATCGCGCAATTGCACTCCAGCCTGGGTAACAAGAGCGAAACTCCGTCTCAAAACAAAAAAAAAACAAAAAACAAAACAAAACAAAAACCAAAAATTCCACTACAAGTGATTTAAAAATATGTATGACTTACAATGACTTTTTCTTTTAATAGAGCCTAATGATTTCATGTTCTTAATACCTGGCTCAATGTATATCTATGAATAGACTACTTATTTATATTTTGCATTCTTTCTGTATAGATAAGCATCATTATTTCTATTTACTAAACTGTTTGTATTATATTAATTTTTTAGCATTTTTGTAGTATCACTTCCCTATTCAAGATTAGTTCTTCTTCCATAACAAAATCACCGCAAATTTCATCACCTCAGGAAAATAGGAATCAGATTAGTGACTTGTCTTCTCAGAGTTCAACTTCTGATTTAGACTCCGTCATTCAAGAACATAATGAATGTTATCAGTATTTAGGATTAGGAGAGACATTGCAGGAAGACACAACCACCACTTCGAATTACAACTCTTCCATTATGGAACTAAAAGAAACGGCAGGTTTTTTACCACCCATGACTTCATACAATCAGACCAGCTACTGGAAAGACTCCAGTTGTAACCCTGATAATGTGCAGAATACTCCTTTTCTAATTAATATAGAATCAAGGAGACCGGCTTATAACTCCTTTCTAAACCACAGTGAGTCAGAGTCAGATGTCTTTTCTTTGGGTCTAACACAAATGAACTGTGAAACTATAAAATCACCAATTGACACTCAGAAGAGAGTGTCAGTTGTTCCCAGTTTTATAAACTCTCAGAAAAGAAGAACACATGAAGCAAACGATTTTGTAAATAAAGAAGTAGCTGACCCTATCTTTTTACTAGAGGGCTCTCAATCTCCTCTTCATTGGAACTTTAAGAAAAATATATGGGAACAAGAGAATCAAGCGTTCAACTTACAATATGGTACAGAGCAGACTACATGTAATAAATTGTACTCTCAGAAAGGTAATTTATTCACTGATCAGCAAAAATGTCAATCAAATGAGTTTGAAGCCCTCACATGTGAAAGTTCAAATGCTGAGACTTTCTGGAGAGAATTACCATCTGTCCCCAGTTTGGATTTATTTTGTGCTTCTGATTCTAATGCAAATCAAAAAGAATTCGACAGCCTTTATTTCTACCAAAGATCTGGAAAAAGTTTGGGAGAGAAAAGGCACCCTGAATCTTCATTTAACTCAGGAGACAAGGAATCGTTAACAGGTAATACTATCCAATAGACGACAAAACTATTCTCAAATTTAATTTAAAAAGATAAAACCATCTCCAAATTTATATTTTTTTTGTTTTAATGACAACACTTAAAAACCTTCTCTAATAACTGTTAGGTAAAAGAGAAAATCTAAACTCTAAAATAAATGCAAAGAAAATATATTATGTTAAATTCTTATAGCCTTAAGTGAACTAAGCAGTCAACTTAAGAAGTTAAAAATAAAAGCAGTACAACTCTAAGTAAAGCAGAAAACTAAAATCAACAAAGATTAAACAGAGGAATCAGTGAATTAGAAAATTCACTGATATAGGTATATTTAATTGACTAACATTTATTAAAAGAGCCTAATTAGGTGCTAGTCTCTATTCTAAGTCCTTTTTTGGATTATTTAATTCTAACAATTCCATTAAATAGGTACTATCATTAGCTCCATTCTGGTGGATGCTTTTGAGTTGTCTGAACATTTAAACATATCAAATTTTTAAAAGAACAATTTAATTTTCTTATTTCTAGTGATTATAGCTTTCACTGTCATTTCTTATTGCATTGGCCCAAGCATCTAAAACAAAATATTAAATCTAACGGCCATGAAAAGGTGGCCTTCCCCAGGATAGGAGAAAAAGGGAAGGGCAGGGGGAAGCTTAAGTTTCAAACTTCTGTTTTTCATAGGTCCTTTTTGTTAGGCCTGAGAGGGACCAAGAAAATCTTGTATTCTTTGTTTTGTTTTTAAAAGGCCTCCCAAATTGTACAAACTCTGGGACTTATAATACTTGAATTTGCTCGCATTTAATAGTCACAACTTGTTTTGTTCCTCACTTTACTGGGAAGTATTCTGTGTCTAGTTTTGTGTGAACTTCTGTGAAAAATAGATGCTGAATTCTATCCGAACTCTTTTTAGTACTTATTGGGAAAAATCAAATGTGTCTTCTCTATTGACCTCTTCATGTCAAAGATTATACTTACAGGTTTACTAATATTAAATTATCTTTACCATTTCTGTGATTAACATAACTGATTTTTGAGGGATGATTTTTTTCATTTTTATATTTTTATTTTATTTAATATTTCATGCTACCTTGTCTAAGAGATTTTTTTTTTCTTTTTTAAAGTCAGTATCTCCCTCTGTGGCTCAGGCTGGAGTACAGTGGTATGACTGGCTCACTGCCACTTCCACCTTTCCAGCTCAAGCGATCCTCCCATCTTAGGCTCCCAAATAGCTAAGATTACAGGCTCGCCGGGCGCGGTGGCTCAAGCCTGTAATCCCAGCACTTTGGGAGGCCGAGGCGGGTGGATCACGAGGTCAAGAGATCGAGACCATCCTGGTCAACACGGTGAGACCCCGTCTCTACTAAAACTACAAAAAAAATTAGCTGGGCATGGTGGCGTGTGCCTGTAATCCCAGCTACTCAGGAGGCTGAGGCAGGAGAATTGCCTGAACCCAGGAGGCGGAGGTTGCGGTGAGCCGAGATCGCGCCATTGCACTCCGGCCTGGGTAACAAGAGCGAAACTCCGCCTAAAAAAAATAAAAAAAAAAAAAAAGATTACAGGCTCATACCACCACACCTGGCTAATTTGTTTCTATTTTTAGTAGATACAGGATTTTCTTATGTTGTCCAGGCTGATCTTGAACTCTTGGGCTCTATCGATCCACCTGCCTTGGCCTCCCAAAGTGCTGGGATTACAGGCTTGAACCACTGGGCCCAGCCTAAGAGATTCTTTTACTATGCTGTTAAATATGGTAGCTAATATTTATTTATGATTTTCATGTCTACATTCATGAAATAAGATTGCGTTCTTTATTTGTGCCTCATCACATTTTGACATAAAGGTTATGCTAACCTCATAAATTAGATGAAAATTTCATCTTTTTCTACTCTGTAACAAAATACACACGTGAATTACTATATGTTCTTGAGCACAGGGAACTCCAACATATAACCTCCCATTTTTTAATGAGAAGATCTAGAAGTCGTTTTTAAATAAATTCTAACATTTAAGCTTTAGGTATATGAGTAGAATAGTCAAACATCTACCTACATTTTAATTCACTAATTTAGATATATATTTTTAAATCACATACTCTATAAAATAATGTCAGTTTAGAAATATTAATTTCTTCCACTTTTCCAGTTATTTCCATGAAATAATTTTATTCAAACAGTTCACATGAATCTTTGATACTAGTATCTTCATTCACTATGGCAAATTTTATTTAACTGATTTTTCATAGTACATCATTACCTCCAAATACATTGTTTAAGGTACAACACTTTTTGAATTAATACTGGCACAGCCTTGGAAATTTTATCCAACACCATTAGTGTAACCCATAACCTCAAGATAATTTTCCATTTGTCCCGAAGTGTACATATGTGCTCTCTATGATATAATTACTTACTACATTGCTTTATTTTTATTTGTTGGCATGTCTGTTTAACAAAATACATTGCTTTTTAAACTTATTGTTATTACTGACAGACTCTTTCTCTGTCACCCAGGCTGAATCATCTCTCTTCAACCTCTTGAGTGTCTGGAACGTAAGGCATGCACCACCACACCCAGCTAATTTTTATATTTTTTGTAGAGAAAGGTCTTGCCATGTTGCCCAGTCTGGTCTCAAACTCTTGGGCTCAAGCAGTCAGCTTGGCTTAGCCTTCCAAAGTGGTGGGATTACAGGTGGAAACTACTGCATCTGGCCCTGTCTTTTAAACTTTTAAATAATAGTATCACAACTCTTACAATTATGAGATTATATCCCCAGGGATAATTACTACAACTGATTTAAATTTTTTAGTTTTCCATTTTACTGATTTAATAATTGGCCTCTATAAGTATCAAAATCTAGGATATTTCATGTTAATGTATCATATATTAAAAAGCCATATAAGGTGAGTTCTTACATGATCACCACCTATCATTCATCAGGGCTTAGGATAAATTTCACATTATAGCTATGGGTCAAGGAGCAAGCTAATGAGGGAAAACTTAAAAGCAAGAGTATTAAAAATGGCATATTAAAGACAGGAATGGAAGCTGAATATGAGCTACTAATACCATTTTTAAATATGGTATTCTAATTTTTATTTTTTTCTTATTGATCTATTATGATTTTGAGCCGAGTGGGATTTTTTTCATGTTGGTTTTTGTTTTTTTTTTTAACTTTTTTTATTTCTGATAACTGCATTGCTGTCAGTTTATTATTTACTCCTTCCATTTATTAATGATAATTCTTTATCCAACTTGGTAAGGATGTAGTAAATTTTGCTCATAATATCCAAAATGCTGGTAATCTCTTCAAAACTGTTTTCATCTGTGAATTTACTTGGGACACTTTGTATTGGTTAGCTGGAAATTTGTGTGTGCCTTATAATTGAACATGTGGATACTAATATAGGGATAACTATATGTAGATATCCATACATAAATAATATACAGAAAATAAATTGGAGTTATTAAATAGGTGCAAAATATACATTCATTTCATAGGAAAGCTTCCTGGAAGCTCCAGAAAAATAAATTTTAGTATTTTTAGAAATTTTAGAATTGGCTGTGAGAGATTGATATGCAGGAAAAAAACATTGTTTCTATCACATTGGCAGCTTAAAATCAGCCATGGTGGTGGGCATCTTCATACCACAAAAATTGGCAAATGCTGTAAATCAGGCCTTTCCCTGTTTTCCCCACACCACCCCAAGAGCTGGTTGATAAACATTTACCAGCCTGCTACTGGTAGTCCAGGCTCTCCCACAGCTTTACAGTGAAGGACCAAGGTCCTGTCATCATTAATATTCCCTGTGTTTCATCTAATTGTGCATTTAAGGATTCTTTAACTTCTTAATTGGAGTTAAAGATTTGTTTTCCAGATATGCCTTTAAAGACATGAATTTACAGATAGATTTCCTAAATACATAACATCTCCCTGAAAAGAAATTGTCCTTAGTGAAAATGATGCCTCATAGAGGGTGTATGTTCCTGAGAAGAAAATTAGCCCAAGTGAAAAAAAGCTGCAGTCAGGAATAGGAAGGGCAAACCAAAAAAAAAAGAAGAAGGAAAAAAAACCCTGAAAAAATTGTATACACTCTCACCACAAAGATGGATACCAGGTACACAGAGACCAGGCATATGTCTTTGTTTTAGGTTCAAAGTCTGTCACAATGAGCCTCTAACTTACATCCTAATTAATGAGGACTTATTAGAAACTTTCAGGAATTAGGAAGCCCTGGCTGAGTTGCTTCCCAAACCATTTGGATTGTTTTTACTTAAAAATGTTAGAACTAGGACAGACCTTAGAGATTATGTATTATAACTTTTCATTTCACAGAAGAGAAAACTGAAATCCAGGGTGATTTAACTACTTCTACAAGGCATAAGCATAAAAATATATGCATTTATTACTAATTTTTAATACTAGGCCATGAGGTACAGAGGCATTTATGTTTAAAACATACTTTTTAATAATTATTATTTTATCCTTGTTTAGAAATTTTGGCACTTCGTAGATAGATGATGAAGACACAGAATCCATTTGAATAGTAAGGAAAAAATATCTATACTTACTTAACTATTGTAAGCAATAAAATGGTTATCCTTTTTCTTTTTTAAACAGGTTTTATGTACTCACAACGACCACAATTCAAAAAACGACGTCTAGCATATGAAAAAGTCCCTGGTAGAGTTGATGGGCAGACTCGGCTGAGGTTTTTTTGAAGGAGAAGAGCAGTGCTACATGCTATATCCCACTGCTTTGGATGATAATCCACTAGCAAAATTATTTAGATTTGCTCATACATTAAAGAAAATGCAATTCTTCACACATGTCTCAGTGTTTCTGTATTAAATATTCATAATATGTATTCTGCCCTATGGTTTGCATATTTGTAAGTTAAATATTCTAATATATCAATTAACAATTATCATAAGACCCAAATTGTCTTCCAGATACCCCTACACACAAACGATTTAAATGAGTCTCCATTACAGTCTGACCCTTTGAGTCAGGAAGTGAAGATCAGCAGTTAACCCTCCCACATCCAAGAAAGTTAAAACCTAGGACAAAATTGAAGTTAGAAAACTTCCGTTTTAAAGTATTGTTTTCTGTAAACACAATTTAAGAACAAATGACTAAGAGGAAATATTTGCAATCCAGATCACAGGAAAAAAGGTTTACATTCCTCATACACAAAAAATTCCTACAAATTGATAGGAAGAAGACAACCTGATAGAAGAATGGGCAAAATATATGAATAGATATTTCCTCAGGAAAAAAACAAAAATAGTCAATAAACATTTGATACAATATGAAGCTTCATCACTTATTAAGCAAATGCAAATGAAAACAATGTTACCATTTTTTCATCTATCAGCTGCCAAAATTTTTGAAAATTAATGCTATCCAATGTCTACATATTGAAGAAAAGACCACTTTCCTATATTGTCTGTACAGCTTCAGTAGAGCACAGTTTGTGTAAACCTACTAAGATGAAAAGTGCTCCTTTCTTTTGACTCAACAATCACATTTTCAGGAATCTGTCTTAAATAAATATTCAATTACACAATGAAATATATAATTTATAATAGGCAAAAGTTGTAGGCAATAAAAATGCTATCAATAGGGGAATAGGTAAACAACTTAGACTATAGAATATCATGAAACTATTAGAAGAAAGTAAGTCTGGGTGCTCTGACAAGGCAGGATGTCCATAATATAAAGAGTAAAAAAAAAAAAGGTGGGGGGTGGGAAATAATACATAAAATACTATGTGTTGCACAACTCCATTTTTGTTTTTGAAAAATAGACCTTTGAAAATTCTAAATTTTTCCAAAATGATCACTATATCAGGGAATAATGTGGGCATAAGATGAATTTTACATTCTGATATGCAATTTTGTTTACCAGAAACTCTAGGTGAACTAAAAAATGACACCCAACTGAAATAAACTGGATAGGAATACACATAACACACACACACATTTCAGAAGGTCATTGATCCATACAATGTCGCCAGTGCCACATCTGGTGTCTCAACTTTCTGGCTAGATAACCCACCTGTTACTACCTCACAGTAACTTGCCAGTTGCAGCTTGGCTAAGCAGCTTCCTACCTTCCCTTTTCTTTAATTGTTCCCCACTTTCCTCTCAGGTCTCTGCCATATTTCTCTGTTTATTCTCTCACTCTTCTTTAATCTCTCTTTTGTTCTTTTCCTTGAGCAGAAAGGGTACCGGCCATGGTCATTAGGCAGGGCTGGCCAGTGGGACAGTGGGGCCTACAGGTTCACGAGCAAACTGGGTATTTTTCAAGGTAAGGAGCCATATATATTATAATATTTGTGTATCCCTTAACCATTTAGCATGTTTAAAACTGTGCTATCATTTTCATTAGATTTCTGTCTTTTTTATTGTCACTGGCAAAATTTTTTAGTATTAAGCCCCAGCTCCATTTTCCCATAAGCCCTGTGGTGGTTATTGTGTGATTTTACATAGCTTGGTGCTTTTTAGGAATGCCTGTGTCATGTTATAGCAGCACTGCCTGGATATATATTCTTCTTAGCAGCTGCTTAATATAATCTGCCACGATATATTTAATTACTCTCTCACTAATGAACATTTAGGTTGACTTCAGCTTTGGCATGAAAAATATATAGACAGACACATTCTCAAACTTTTAACAGTGGGAGATAGAGTAATAAATACAAAGGTTGGCATTCTTTATAAATTTGGATATATTTTAAAGATACGGCTGAAGAATCAGGGATAGTACCAAGGTTTGTGGCCTAAGAAGAATGATGTTGCCATTTATTGCTATGGGGAAGATAACGAGAGAGGTATAATTTACAGAGCTTGGGAGCTCAATTTTTGGGCAAGTTAAATTTGAAATACCTACTTGACTTCCAAGTGGAGATTTTAAGTAGGTATTTGTACTATGTAAGTCTCAAGTTCAATAGAATATATAAATCTGGGAAGTATAAATTTGGGAGTCATCAAAGTATAAATGATATTTAAAGCTATAAAAATGGATAAGATTGCCAACATGGTGAATATAGATAGAAAATAGATTTCAAACACCAAGCCATGGAACAACATTAGAGAGAAATAGAGGAAAACGGAAAGGAGACTGAGAAGAAGCAATCAGTGATAGAGGAAAAAAACCAGATTTCCTGGAAGCCAAATAAAGAAGATCTTTCCAGAAGGAGAGCATAATCGGTTGTGTTAACTACTATTGACAAATGAAGTGAGAGGAAGAAAGAGAACCATTGGATTTACCAATGTGGAGCTCTTTGGTGATCTTGATAGGAGCAGTGGTAGGGCCAAAAGCCTGATTATAATAGATTCCAGAAAGTACAGGAAAGGAAAACAGAAGATGGGGAGTTTAGACAACTCTTTCTGAAACTTTTGCTGTATAGATGAGAGATGGGGTATTGGCTAGAGGAAGAAGCCAAGAGAGGGTAGTCTTCACATAGAAAAATCTCATAGTGTTTGTAAATGGATGGGAAAAATCCAGTACAGGAGCAAATGTTGATGGAGACAGAGACAGAGAGAGATTTGCTAAACAGAAGTCCCTGGGAAGGTGAAAAGAGATGGGATATAGTGCAGACAAGAAGGGAGTTGGTCTTGGCTAGGACCATAGAGAGATCATCCACAGACATAAGAAGAACCATTGAGATTATGGGCATAGATACAGGCAGATGTTGTGGAAGATTATGGCCATTCTCTTCTGATTGTTTCTATTTTTTTTCTCTTAACTTTTCTGTTTTCTTTGACAGAAAAGCAGAAGCACTGAGTGTTATAGAATAAAGGATTTATGGTAAGGATTAGGCCTTGTTCAAATGCAGAAACTGGTTTAAAAGTTATGTAAGACAGTTGCTTTTGCATCTGGTGTTCGGCCTGAAGTCACTTCAGGTCAGCCAAGCTCATTGTCAGGAGAGTTGGAAGCAAAATGGGGAAGATAAACTGGAACTTGCCAGGATGAACTAGAGCCACTTTCAACCTCAGTGATATGAAAGCAAGGAAGCTGAGAATGAAGGAGAAGATATTGGAGATTTGAGGAGAAAGAAATTATGACACAGTCATCTAGGATAGTGAGAGAGTGAAGGAAATGGGGAACCATAGTGTATGTTTGCCAGACAATATTAAAGATCATCTTAAATGAGTAGTCATGACTCTAAAGTGAGAGCATTAAGTAGGTCACAAATGGAGGAGGGGTGCCCAGTAGAAAGGAGGAAAACAAAGACAGAGAATTGCATTTAAAGGGCTGCTGCTTAGCCAAGATTGTGCAAAGAAGCAAAAGTGAGAGTGGGACAAGGGAGCTGATAGAGTATCAAAGGCAGTGACCATAATCATGATAATGTTATAAGTTATCCTTATAAATGGGACATAAAGTACATTTTATTATAAATTGAGCTGTGCATACAACCCCTATATAGAGCTTTCTCTAAACCATGTTCAAAATTCTGAGGCTAAACCTGAAGTCCACATGGGGTCTCCCTTCCATCCTACCCTCAACAATGATCTTCCCCTTGACATTTAAATGTACTTAAGCTTCTGAAGGAACCTTTTCTAGACTTCATATCCCCTCCAACTACTCCTGCTCTGTTCTCTTTCATAGCACTTTCACAGCTGAACTACTCAAGATGTGTATATATCAAAAGTCTTTAGACTGAGGTACACCTACCACTAGGGCATATTACAAAGCCATTTCAAGGAGCAAGTACATGGGCACCAACAGTTTTAAAACAGTAAATTTCCAGTGCTTCAATTTCCACAGGCACTCTTTCCCAAGCCAGAGAACACACCTGAGACCTACATATCACAATGGTTCTCCTTTCCATCCTTACAAGTGTCCTTCCACTTTGTAAAATAAATGTGTATCTCTCACCCATCCTGAATCTTACTAAGGTCCAAGATCTAAGTTGTAAACACCACCGAAGCACTAAGTAAACAATTTGAAATATTGGTATCAGCAAAATTCCTTTAATTAAAGCATGATAACATCCCATTCAAATCACTAAGACCATTACATTTACTTTTTAAAATCTAAATAAAAGCTTTCAATTTTAGAATAGATTAACAGAAAAGTTACAAAAATAGTAGAGTTCCCAAATATAAAACACCAAATTTCTCCTATTACTAATCTCTTACATTACTATTACTGTGGTACAGCAGTCACAACTAATGAACCAATGTTGATACGTTATTAACTAAACTCTACATTTTATTCAGAACACATTAGTTTTTCTTTAATGTCCTATTTACTTTCTCCACTTGCTTCCTGAAATGTAAGTTTAAGGGCCTAAAGTTAAGTTTATTTGACTTAAAATAAACTTAACTTAAATGTAAGTTACAGGGCCATTTTCTCAAATCCCCTCAAAAACATGATGGGTTCTGATCTATTTGTTTCCAGTTAGTTCCATGTGCCAGTAACTACATCCAATGTTCTTGTTTAGACATAATCCTCATGCTTAATTTATGTATTTATTTTTGCTTCCTTGTACCATGCCTCTTTAAACCTTAATGACAGTTTTTTGTTTTGTTTTAGTTTGTTTTGTTTTGTTTTGAGATGGAGTCTTGCTCTGTTGCCCAGGCTGGAGTGCAGCGGCGGGACCTCGGCTCACTGCAACCTCCGCTCCCAGGTTCAAGCAATTCTCCTGCCTCAGCCTCCTGAGTAGCTGGGATTACAGGCACCAGCCACCATGCCCAGCTGATTTTTGTATTTTTAGTAGAGACGGGGGTTTCACCATGTTGGCTAGGATGGTCTTGACTTCCTGACCCCATGATCCACCTGCTTCAGACTCCCGAAGTGCTGGGATTACAGGTGTGAGCCACCGCACCTGACCTGCGACAGTTAAGTTGAAGCCAT